GACTCCTGTTGTTGACTTTACAATTGACACTCCTGTTTATGGCATCAGTAATCTCCCTATGCACCAGTCATGAGTTTCCAAGGCTATGGAAGCCCCTTGAGTTCTCCGACTCTTATCTTGTTTAGACACGGTCATAGTCAAAGTGGAGGTTCTCTCCTCCCTTCAGAGAAAGGCACCTCCCTCTTTGAAGACCTGTTCTTTCCACTGGGATCTCACTCAGATCTTTTTGCCAGAGTGTCTTGGCTTTCCATGCCTGAAATACTCTCATGGGCTTTTCAGCCAGATCCGAGTGCCTTTAGGGCTGATTCTGAGGCCAGAGTGCTATTTAGGACATCCGCCATTCTATGAGTCTGCTGAGTATCTCACTTCCCATGTTGGATCACTCTCCCCTTTATTTATTCTATCGGTTAGTGTTAGCAGATACTAGACTTGTTTATGTGCTCCCTTTGACTCTTAGTCCTTTCATTATGATCAATTGTGAACTGAAATTGATCACTTGGACTAGTGAGATGGCATTGGCACATGCCACCTTGATGGGATTGAATTGGAATCCCCTGGTATGAAATAAATAAACAAATCTTTAAGAGAGAGAGAGAGGAGAGAGAGGTCTTCCATTCCACTGGTTCACTCTCCAAATGACCACAACGGCCAGAGCTGAGCTGGTCCGAAGCGGGGGATCAGGAGCTTCTTCTGGGTTTCCCATGCAGTGCAGGGCCCGAGGACTTGGGGCCATCTTCTACTGCTCTCCCAGGCAATAGCAGAGAGCTGGATTGGAAGTGGAGCAGCCGGGACTTGAACCAGCGCCCATATGGGATGCCGGTGCTGCAGGCCGGGCTTTAACCCACTACACCATAGCGCCAGCCCAGGTAACTTGTTTTCATAATAAGTTGTGAGCTCAGGAAGCGCTCCCTTGCTATTTTCATGGTAAATTTGGAAATTCTGAAGGATGGAGGGTGGCCTGTTTGTTCTTGCAAATGTTTTGGGGGAGGAAACAAATATTTTACACCCCAAGTTCTATTGGGATCACCCTGACTACCTATTAACCCATCTGACTCCTCAGGGTACTTCTTAAAGACAGTTTAAAAAGTCATTCTTGGCACAGCGGATGGGATGTCCACAGAGTGCCAGGGTTCAAGTCTTAGCTCTGTTATGCTCCCTGGGAGGCAGCTGGTGGTCACTTTGCCACCCATGGGAATCTCAGGATCCTGTCTTAGGTCTGGCTCAGTGCTGGCTGTTGTGACCATTTGATGGATGGAAGATATCTCTTTGTCTGTCTGCCTTTCAAATAAAATGAAAATAAATAGAGTCATTTTGTTAAAGTTTTAAAAAGCATTGTAAATGACCCTGGTTTACTTCCCAGGCTTGTCCAAGAACCCTTCCTTAGCCCCTTAACTGATTGTGCCCCTCCTTACAAGAAGACGATAACACCAGGCAACAACAGGATTATTTGAAATTTTGAGTTGTTTTTTTCAAAAGATGTGACATTTGTATCTGGGTAGAACAAGATTTGGGGAAAAGAACTACATTGGGAATATCCACATTCTTTGGGAGGTTGGGCCAAAATCTTGTCTTGGGTTTTCTTCTGAAATTTCCAATGATTTTAGGATGACCAGAGACAGTTTCTGCAATGAGTGCCAAAGTATCCACGCACGGTTTCAACAGTAAAATGTTCTGCCACTGAAGTTTTGTTGTGCAGAATCAAAGGGTGTGTGTGTGAAAGGCAGACCTGGGGGAGGTGTTAGGTACATTTTCCCTAAAGCAAATATTTAGATGCTGTTAACACGTGTGCTGTTTATCAGCAGGGGTATTACTTCTTGAATTGCTTCCTAGTGTGCATTTGAGTAACAAAGAAGTACTTGATAATTGAAGTAGCAAGAAAATTACTATGCATTAAGTATCACAATGACCCCTACTACCTGCTGAGCAATAGACTTGTGGGAGAATCGCTTGGTGGATAATTTGGATTGAATAAGACTGAGATTTCAATGACAAGAAGCTTGTGAGATGCAGGAAGTTCTTCCCAGTAAGGTAATCGGAGGCATCACAGCAGGAATAAGCTTGGCCTGCCAGAGAAGCAAGAAGGAGCCAGTGAGCGGAGGGGTCCCAGGCACAGTGGTAGAACATGAGGTTGGAGGTGACGTACAGATGATGGAATCCTTTGTAAGTCAGGGTGGGGAATTTAGACGGGAAATTGTTAATGTATTTTAAAGGAGAAAAGCACTCGAGATGGAGGTGAATTATAGATTAGAGGAAGCCAAAGGAAGATGGGGTGGGAATCAAGGGGCAACCATTAAGTAGGCTGGGGCAGCTGTCTAGGACTGGAGTGTATCATGGGGCTGAAAAAGAGTATGTGGTTTCAGGAACAGTTGCTGGAAAGAGGGTGTGGTCAAAGACAAAGCCGGGTGGACAAGCAGGTGGGATAGTTCTTTAGGTTTAAGTGGCAAAGTATCAGTTCTCCTATAGGAACTCTATTTTTGCATTCAAGCATGTAGGGACCTTAGCCTTGAAAAACCACAATGTCTTTACAAGTCCCCAGGGACCTGGCTTACCACAGACTTCTGAACTCTGGGATTTTCCTTCTTAGCAGCTTCTTGGATACCAGGGGTGGTGGGCAAGAGGGGTTCTGGGAATGGCTGGGTTCACCCCCAGAAAAAGCTGAGAGCAATTCAAGAAGTAATACCCCTGCTGATAAACAGCACACATGTTAACATCATCAAAATATTTGCTTTAGGAAAAATGTACCTAACACCTCCCGCAGGTCTGCCTTTCACACAGTAGGAGACAGCCTCAAAGTTCAAAGGGCGGGGACGGGTGGCTTAGTATTTATCCAGGGACAGGAGTTTCTGCACCCAGTCTGTCATCTCATCCTTGAGATAACTGCGTGAAATTCCTTTTTTTAAATCCCAGTTTTTACAAAAAGAGAAGGCTGAAGCTCTGGAGGTTCTTTATTTTGTTCTAGTTGGTGCAGCTTGAGAGTGGTGGGGCCTGGGCTGGAACCTGTGCTCCTCGCAATGCTGCCGAATTGGGGTTCCTCTCGTTTTCCCTTCTTTCCGTCCAGAGATCCATCGTGGAGAGGGCCCTGATTTCTTTTCTTTTATGTTTGTCTCCCCAACCCCACCGAGTTTTCTGGAGGTAACGCTCCCTACCCCTGCAGCCGCACGGGGTCTGGGGCGAGGCGGCAGGGCAGGCGAGGTGGCTCCCTCTGCCCGAACCGCTCCAGGCGGTGGGAAGCGACTCTTTTGCCTGTGCAATGCCCCGAAGGCTTTTTCCATTTCCGCGGCCCCTTCCGCTCTCCATCCCTCACCTCTGGTCCCTGGACTTCAGCTCAGGCCCCCCGGGGAGCGTCTCTGGCCCGGGGCTGACAGCATTTGGGGGCGCAGGGTCCTGTTCTCTGCGCTAAGGCCATCTGCGCGCAGAGCCTCGTTCCCGGGCGCCGGGAGCCCGGCGGGCATTGACGTCAAGCGGCGGCGGAGCGCTGCCTACAGACGGTTGACCCGGGCCCTCCTCCACACCCCCTTCCTTCCTCGCCCCCTCCCTCTTCTCCGCTCCCGGACCCCGGCTCGCTATAAAAGGCGGGAGCCAGGGGCGCCTGGCAGCGATGAGTTTCAGCACCATGGAGAGCCCCCGCCTGCGCCTGCTGCCCCTCCTGGGCGCCGCCCTGCTGCTGATGCTACCTCTGCTGGGCGCGCGTGCCCAGGAGGACGCCGATCTCCAGCCGCGAGCCCTGGACATCTACTCTGCCGTGGAGGACGCTTCCCACGAGAAGGAGCTGGTCGGTATTGCCCTCACCCCGGGCCCCTTCGAGCCGCCGCGCGGTCCCTGCCTTTGCACGCTCCCCTCCTCCCTCCACCCCGTTCCGGGAGTCAGGGTACGGGGAGCGGAGCGCAAAGCCTGCTCTGCGCGATGTCTCGAGCCCACGGGCTCCGGGCAGTCTGTAGAGCGCCTCCCGGCCCCCTGTCCCTCGGAGCAACAGGAGCCTCAGTGGCTCCGGGTCCTGCGGTCAGCACTCAGGACAGTGCCCGTTGACTTTCCATCCCGCCTACACCCTCTCTGCCCGCCGAGCCCAGATGCAGACTGTGCCTGCGTCCCTGGCTCCTGGTAACTAGGGCTGGAAGTTAGCACCTGGGCTGGGCTCACAGCCAAGGCGCAACTTGGGACTGCGGACGGTGTGTTGCAGATCGAAGCGCTGCAGGAGGTCTTGAAGAAGCTCAAGAGTAAACGAATTCCTATCTACGAGAAGAAGTACGGCCAGGTCCCCATGGTAAGGACACGGGGTCATTCCCTTCCCTTGAGTTTCCAGAAGAAAATGCTTGCCTTAAGTCTAATTCAGACTTATCCCCAGAATGTGGTTAAATGACGCAAGCTATGGCTTTGCAGAATTCTGGGGGCTCCTTTTTGCTTCCACCTCCAGTACCTTGTCTGTTGATCTCTAAGGGCAGAGGGGAGACCACCGGCCATTTGGGACGATTGGAGGTCTGTGCTGGGACCAGCCTGGAATCTGCAGGCAGGAGCCTATGCTGGGGAGGAGCTTTGGGTCTCACCTCTGGGAGAGTTCTCTGCCTTGGACAGCCTTTGCTTCCACTCACTTCTTGCTCCCCAATTCCTCTACCCTTCCAGAGCACAGTCCGTGTTGTTCAGATCCTAAGTTGTAGAATCTTCTGAATTCTTCAATCTGGACTAGTCACCTTGGGTGGCTCTGGGTAAAAGGCACAGCATACCCACATACACTCTCTTTAAGCCCCCCCCCCCCTTTTTTTGGATGAGGAAGTGGTAAAACAGGAAACAGGAGTTGTGAGAAAATATCAGTCTATATTATTTATTTCCTAAAAACAAGGTTTTTTCCACATGGATGAGAAAAAAAAGGAACTAGGAAATATTACCCCTTTCTCCCCACTAAAAAGTGGAATAAATTAGGAGGGGATCAACAATTCGATTTTCTTTTTTAAAAGCAATCTTCTCACTGACGTTTTATAATGTCACAAAGCTCCCCATGTTCCAGGCCTGACCGTACTTAGACCTCTGGTGCTGCTGCTGCTGGGGCCCAGCCAATTTTCTCCAAGCGGCAGACACTGTGTTGATGGGGGGACTTGCCCATGGGGCCTGGGTCAGCTCAGGCTGATGACCACCCATTGTGCTGTTTGCAGTGTGATGCCGGTGAGCAGTGTGCAGTGCGGAAAGGAGCCAGGATTGGGAAGCTGTGCGACTGTCCCCGAGGGACCTCCTGCAACTCCTTCCTCCTGAAGTGCTTATGAAGGGGCTTCCACGCTCTTCCATCAGTCCCCACTCTCCCCCACCCCCTCCACTGCCCCCCACCCCGAGGACCACACCTTCCTCCCTGGAGTTTGGCTTTAGCGACAAATAAAGTTTGCATTTCCCTCTAAGGGCAAGGGGCTCTTTTCCTGCTGTTTCAAAATAAAAGAACACATTATATGTTACTGTGTGAAGGATAATGCCTTGTACGGTGTTGCTATGTGTGCAAAGTACCCTTTTCTTATTTTATTTGACGAACTCTTGTGTACTGTCGTGTAAAGAAGGAGAACTTTGCTTTGAAAATTGTATTTTTCTATGTGGCATGGCGGAGTGAAAATTAGGTCTAGTTAATCTTGGTAGATGACATCACCACCTGGAAACTAAATCACCCCAAGCAACACAAAGTGAAGCATGTACAAATTATACATAATAAAGTGTTTTTAATTACTGCTCATAGTGCAGTGTTGTTTCTATAAAGGTAATTTAAGTAGGAATAGTGAAATTAATCATGCTGTTGTTTCAAAGAAAAATATTTTTAAAAATAGCAGTCCATTGGGAGATCAGCATCTCAGCTCTGAGGAGTTTTGATCATTAATTAGCAGATTGTCACACCAGCTCCTCTCTACTCTGTTTTCCTTTGATCTCAGTGCTGTATGCTCTGTGCATGGGTGTGTGGGATGAGGTAGAGATGGTTGCAGGTGGGGTGATTTAATTTTGTTCATTAAGATCCTTAGCTAGCCCCTTAATTTAAACAATAAGACCAAGAGAAGACCAATTGTTTCAGACTTCATTCACATTAAAAGCAATTGGAAGACTCAGAACTTCAGTTCTGGCAACTCCTTTGTTAGAAAATATACATTGATTAAACAAGCAAAGACTTTTGGGGAGTTGGTGTTTGTCCAAAGGAAGGGAAACCACTTAAATACACACCTTGTAAAAACTCTGTGCAAGGGAAAACAGTTACTTTAGTACACAGATTTGAGGGGTACAAATGAATACTGGTGGGGCAAATTCAACTCAAGAAATATAAAAATATTGAGTAGGCTTCAAAAGTACCTCATTTGCTTATATCAGATCACGTTTTTAAAGTTTAAGCTCAATGAAGTAACATGTAAGCAGCAGTATCATGAGAGGTATGGATGTGAACAGCTTTCTCGCTGAAATTCAAGAGGCACCTGTGAAGTCCCCTACTGATAGATGGGGAGCAAGAGTATGCTGGTAGAAATATTCTCAGGGTTGACGTGGTGGTGCAGTGGGTTAAGCTGCTGCCTGTAACGCCGACATCCCACATCAGAATACTCCTTCAAGTTCCAGCTGCTACGCTTCTGATCCAGCTACTTGCCATTGTGCCTGGGAAGGCAGGGGAAGATGTCCCAAGTACTTGAGCCTGTGCCACCAACATGGGAGATCCACACGGAGTTCCAGGCTCCTGGCATCAGCCTGATCCAGCCCTGTTTTTTATGGCCTTTTGGGGAGTGCACCAGAGGATGGACAACCTCTCTCTCTCTCTCTCTCCCCTCTGTCACTCTGCCTTTCAAATAAATAAATAAATCTTAAAAATAATTCTCATGGAGTAGGAGATGGGATGGTTTGTGGGTGGGAGCGTGGTTATGGGGGGAAAACCGCTATAATCCAAAAGTTGTACTTTCAAAATTTATATTTATTAAATAAGTTTTCTTAAAAAAAGAGAAAAAAATTTCATACACAGTTGCAGTGCTGTCATTGTTACTACAAGCATGCCCAATCTCTCTCATTTTGCAAGGTAGATGTTACTGCCATTTTTAGGACAAGATTATAGAATTTGCCTAAATCATACAATTCTAAGTCTTGATTTCAGGATTAATCCCTTTGACCCCAACGAGTCACCTTTTTCTTCCATGTCATCTTGACCAGTCAGCCACAGGCTGGTGGGGTGCTGAGTTCCCCAGAGAGAACTTCTTTCTTTCACTCACTGGAGGTCATTGTGTATTTTTTGGTGTCATGTTTCTTTTTTCAGTCCCTTATAACAGGGCTATTTGTGATTGAAATGTGTTTTAATCTTTTAAAACTGCAAGGAATTGTTTAATAGTTCCACAATCTGCTGCTATTTTTCAGAAATCATTTCTGTTTAAAATTCTAATGTTCCTTTTTAGATTTATTTTATTTATTTGAAAGATAGAGTGACACCCTGAGGAGGGAGAAGAGAGAGGGAGGAAGGGAGGGTGGGAGGGGGAGAGAGAGAGAGAGATCTTTCATATTCTGGGTTCACCCCCCAAATGGCCCCAATAACCTGGATTGTGCCAAACTGAACCCAGGATCCTAGAACTCCATCTGGGTCTCCCATGTGTATGGCAGGGGCCCAAGCACTTGGGCCATCCTCTACTGCTTTTCCCTGGTGCATTAGCAATGAGCTGGATTGGAAGCAGATCAGCTGGGACTTGAACTTGAATATGGGATGCTGGCATTGTCAGCAGCAGCCTAACCCACTGTGCCACCATACTGGACCCTCGCCGCCTTCTTGAGCCCCTTAACTATTCCTATCTGTGCCAATCCAAAATAAGTCAGACCAGAACATTTCTTTAGTCTTCGATTGGTACATAGCCAGGAGCTCAGGGCTAACACTTAGATCTTCTTTCTTCTTCAGCCTGGATGCTTTCCCAAAAGCAACAAGTGTTGGAGGAAGGTGTAGTTTAAAGAAGGGACTATGGACTCTGCTCTGGATTCCTTCAATTTGTCCTTCTCATGCCCACTTCTGGCACATCCCCTCCTTTCTTGTTTACTCAGAATAAAGGGCTCTGTAAAGTGGCTGCAGAGAGTGGTGATAGAGAATATGTAGGCTGAGTATGAACAGGCTTTTTCCAAAAATGCCGGGGTCCAGGTTTAAGTTAATGGTGCTAACAACATTCCACACTGGTGATGAGGACATTTAACCTGAAACGGCTCATTAAAATCACTTTGCCTTCCTATTTTATCACAACTACAGCTTCCCTTCAAACAGAATGCATCAGTATGTTTAATGATTGAAGATCCCTGGGGTGGGGACAAGAAGGTTACAGAAAAGGAAAGTTTTAACGAGGCAGTAGTCACCCCTCTGCGAGGCCCAGAGACCATTTGAGATTGGCTGGAAAGCCAGGGCTTTGAGCCATGACAAGCAACCACATCTAATGCTCTGTGGACTTACAAGACTTGGGAATGAGCACCCGGAGGAGTGGTTCTCACAGGGGCCTGGACCAGTGCAGGAAAGTTGTCAGATGACTTCTCTCAACTACTCGTGAGCACTCCCCCCACAGTAATTACTAATGCCACACCCCTTATGTGATGCTAGCATCTGGAGGGCTGTGAGCTATGCACGATACCCAGGTACTTATACCCTCTTCCAATCTTGGTAATAGCACATCTGAATCTGAGTAGGGGGAGCATTGTTAGGTTGTATAATTAAATAATACCCATGGCCTAAGCAATCTCCCCTAGAATCTTTGCAATGCTGACTTAGTTTTATTATAGTTTATTCATTCACTTGTTCCACACATTTCTGAGTGCCTTCCATGTAGCAGGTGCTGAGAACATATTGATAAACAAGACAGACGTAATCCTTGTTCTCATGAGACAATTAATTAATAAAAAGCAAACACATGAAAGTTATAAGTCATGAGAAATTCCATGAAGGACATTGAGGGGGCAAATGGTGGTATCTATGCAAGAAGGTGGAGGAGGAGAAGGTGGAGGGAAGCACCAGAAAGGTAGAGCTTCAGGCAAAGAGTATGGCCAGGACACAAGTTCAAAGACTTCAAAGTTGATTGAAGTTCAATTTCAGAGAGGTTGACGTGCTTAAGGAACTGAAAGGTGGCCATGAACTCTTGGAAAATGTGTGCTAGATGAGGAGAGGTCCAAGTAGCTACTGCTGCACTGGGATATTTCAGTCCCCTCTGGTGTACAGTTATCTTGCACAGGTGTAAAGTGGAATTAGCTGTTCATTGGTCAAGATCATCCCAAGGGAAAAGGGGCTGAGAGTGAAGAGGGTGTTGTCCTGGTGTCAGCTCTCAGTCTTCTTCGTTTCACTGATGAGTGACTGTATTTCTCTCCAGCCTGATTAACACATGTTTACAATTTACTTCCCTACCTTTCTAAGCTGGAGTGTGCTCTTCAGGGGTTCTACTCTAGGGGGCCTACCAGCATACCTGATTGGGCTTGAAAATAGTTTGTTTCTGTGAATATTTCTAGATGGGCTTCCTCAATCTGCAGAATCAGCTGGATGCAAGAGGTTAAAAATGTAGGGAAGAAAGAGGGAGTAATTGATGGAGTGAGGCTCTTGTCGGGGCTGAGTGTGGAATTCAGAGTCAGGAAGAAGATCGGTGATGAGGAGGAGGGTCACATGATGGGTACAGAGGCAGGCGACTTTGTATGTGGGTTGGCAGGAAGTTGCGGTAAATAATCTGTGACTTCCACTTTCGAAGGAAATAAAGATATGAAGTCTGCATAGGAGGAGGTGAAGAACTACTTATTCAATCATTCTATAAATGCAGTATAAAAACTAATGATTGCCAGGCTTCTGCAGAGTGGCAGTCACAATGATGAAACATAATGCATTAATTTTTATTTATTTGAAAGGCAGAGGGGTAGAAAGAGAGGGAGAGACATGAGAGATCTTCCATTCCACCAATTCATTCCCAAAATGCTCATAAGAGCCAGGTATAGGCCTGGCTGAAGCCAGGAGCCAGGAACTCCATCCAGAACTCCTACGTGGGTGGCAAGAACCCAAGTATTTAGACCATCATCTGTTGCTTTCCAGGCAGGTTGTGTGGAGTAGCCAGGACTCCAAATAGGCACTCTGGTGTGGGATGTTGGTATCCCAAGCAGTATCTTTTTTTTTTTTAAGATTTATTTATTTTACTTGAGAGGCAGAGTTATAGACAGAGAGAGGAAGAGACAAAGAGAGAGGTCTTCCATTGCCTGGTTAACTCCCCAAACGGCTGCAACAGCCTGAGCTAGGCTGATCCAAAGCTAGGAGTTTCTTCCAGGTCTCCCACATGGGTTCAGGGGCCCAAGCATTTGGGCCATCTTCTACTTCTTTCCCAGGCCTTAGCAGAGAGCTGGATGAGAAATGGAGCAGCCGGGACACAAACCGGCACCCATATGGGATGCCAGGACTGCAGGCAGATGCTTAACCTGCTATGCTATAGCGTCAGCCCCCAAAGCAGTGTCTTAACCCACTGCATCATAACCCCTGCCCCTCATTAGATGTTAAGCACTACACAGAGAGGAAGATGAATTTGGAGGCGGAAGAGGTATCAAGGCTTGTAGACAAAATGGTATCTGAGTATTCTTTGAAGAATGTGTAATAAGTCAAAAAGTGAAGACTGGGGGAAATTCAGCTAAGGTTTGGGAAACAGTGGGAACCTAAGTATTCAGGGGAAAGAATACGCTCAGAAATAGCTTGGATGCGGCTGAGTCCATTGGGTGTATGGCAGAAGGAGA